GTGTGGGGAACCACCTTTTTGGGGTGACTTCTGTTGTGATCCTAGCCAGGCAGGTTCCAGGGTAGGAGCTTGAGGATTGAAAAATGTTAGGTAGGAGGAACAGAGCTAAGAATCACAGCGACATAGGCTAGTAATGGGAGAGCAACTCAGCAAATGCTAAATGCTGAGTTCACCCTCCTTTGTCTTCCATACATGTGTACACCCCAATACAAAAGAGGGAAGACAGCAAAAGACTGCTTTAACACGATACAAAGTATCTACTGAAGACTGCTTTAGCATGATACAAAGTATCGGCTGAAGACTGCTTTAGCATGATACAAAGTATCAACTTGGATTTCTGTTCCACTAGGTCCTGTAGCCGTTCAGTCCCCCAAAAACCCACAGAGGTCTACAGTAACTATAAACTGGTTAGCCTATTAGCTCCAGCTTCTTATTAACTCTTAAAACTTATATTAGCCCATAATTCTTGTCTGTGTTAGCCACGTGGCTTGGTACCTTTTTCAGGAAGGCAGTCACATCTTGCTTCCTCTGTGTCTGGATGAAAACTGCAGACTGAACCTTTCCTCTTCCCAGAACTCTCCTGTTCTCCTTGCCCCATCTCTACTTCCTGCCTGGCTACTGGCCAATCAGTGTTTATTTATAATACAAGTGACAGGGTATAGACCATTGTCCCACAGCAAAAAAAAAAAAAGGACAACTAGAACAGTTACTTGTTTCAATACTTAAGATATCAAGTCATTAATTCTTGAGAAAAGCATTCTGTTGTTTAGGCAGTAAACCAAGTATCCTGAAGGCAACCCTCCCTAGGTCAAACCTTCTAATTCAAAAGAAGAAGCAAAAGTGTGCTTGAATTCTCTGACCTTTGGTCAGGGTGGAGAGGACACACCTCTATGGGCCATATTAATGTCCAAAACACCAAGTAACCACACCCTAGGTCAGGGTGTGTAGCCACAGTTGTTGTCAACAACTTTGAGCACCCTCAAACTCTCTGACCTTCAGACAAGATGGAATAGGCTCACATTTTTAGGCCTCCACAAGTGAGCTATGTTTCAATAGGGTAAAATCCATTCTAATGATAAAAAGGAAACACAGGGACCAGGACCAGTAATATAGCTGGTCCTCCTCATCATCAAGAATTTACTGTGCATAACTACATATGGTACACATTGAAGGGCAATACAAATCTATCAATGGCTTTATTAACGATGGTATAACAAAGATATAACCTGCTGTCTGAATAATTCCCAGTAGGTTGTCAAGCCAGTAAAATCTTCAGGGTAAATGACATTCTTGATCATTTCCAAAAGTTTATTTTCAGGGTCACCGCAACTTCAGAGCATCAAAACAAATTCCATCTCTCCAATTTATAAGAGCTGCTGTTTGATCCCAACACTGAACCCTCAGGTGTGAAGTCTATCCATTTTAGAACTTTTATCAGGGTGCCCACCCCTTTATCATTTTGAATGTCTTTGGACTATGATATAGTTCCAGTGTGGATTTAGTACTACTCACAGTGGACTTTGCCTTCAAGGGTAAATTTTATTTCTAACATAGCTAGTCTTTGGAAAATGTTAAAAGGAATCTTTTACAAAATATTTACTTATTTGTTGAGAGAGAGAGAGAGAGAGAGAGAGAGAGAGAGTGCAAGAGAGAGCATGTTGGTGTAATGCATGCAAGCGAAGGTCAAAGGACACATTTTGGGAGTCTTTGGTGCTCTCCTTCCACTGTGGGATCTGGGGACTGAGCTCAAGTCGTCAGACTTACACAGCCAGTGGCTTTAGTCTGAGCACCTCTCAGGTCCTAAGGAATTTTTTTCTAAATGCACATACAAATCTATAATATGCAGCCAACAAAGAGTTACAGAAGAACTATCTACAAAATCATAACTTTCTTTAGAAATTGCAATAAAGCAAAGATGGTTCCGTGCTCTAAATAGAACCCTGCCTAATGCAGGTTTGTAATTTCATATGATTTATATCATTTTTTTCCTTTCATCTGTTCCCACTCAGCTATACATTCTGTATCTTAGCTTGGACTCCTAGGGAGCAGACTGTGAGAGAAGACAGACAGGAGGGTTTGGCCGCAGCCTACAAAGATCTCATGATCAATTCAGAGGCTGATCATTCCTTCTGAATTAAATCAAATTAAAACCAAAAGTCCAAGACTTTATTGTGCTGGATGCAGGATGCCCAAAGGAGGGTGAGTGACTTGGATGTAGGCTCCAGATTGGATTAAATGAATGTGTGATTTAAACCATGCTAGCTGAATTCTTTAAAAAAAAAAAAAAGATTTATTTATTATGTATACAGCATTCTGCCTCCATGTGTGCCTACACACCAGAAGAGGGCACCAGATCTCATTACAGATGGTTCTGAGCCACCATGGGGTTGCTGGGAATTGAACTCATGACCTCGGGGGAGAATAGCCAGTGCTCTTAACCACTGAGCCATCTCTCCAGCCCCCTGAATTCTTTCAAGATGTCATCAACAGAAAAGATGGCTCAGTCCATTAAAGTACTTGCCCTGCATGCATGAGCACCTGAATTCAGATCCTCAGAACTCACAAATAAGGCGGCTCTCCAACAGTCTTGGAGAAATATTTGAGGCATTTTTTTAAATGAAGTTTTCATTTATTTAGAGTGCAAGTAACAAGGTAGCCCACGTCTGTGACCCCAGTGCTGGGGTGACTGTGACAGGCACATTCCAGGGGCTCCCTGGCCAGCCAGCCTGGTTGAACCAATGAGCTCCAGGTGGATGGGAAACCTATTGTCAATGCATAAAACGGAGAGCAGTGAGAGAGAACACTTGACATGGACCTGTGCCCCCACACGCATGTGTGCATATATGCATTTGCACAGGCACAAACATATGACACGCCTTCAGAAACGATAGAAGGCAATGTTGGCTCTTGTTAGTATCTTGTTATCAGTTTCTAAATCTCCCACTTGGTCTTTATTATGATGATATGTCTTGACACAGAGGCCAAGGAATCTTTTTTCTTTTTTTTCCCGAAAGAGGTCATGGCTTCTGCAGACCTAACCAGCTAGTTTTCAATTCTTTGAACTCCTGCCGTTCTTACCGTTCTTACCGTTCAGTCCTAGGCCTGGTCCTAGGCCTCCAGGAAGGCCTTTTGGCTTTCACACAGAGCTCTGAATGACCAATTATGATGGTTGTTTTCGTCAACTTGGCTGGATTGAAAACAATATATTGGTGAGTAAAGCCTTCCGGGTGTGTCCGAGGTTCCAGGGACAATGAAGCCATGAAGGGCATAACCAAATGTACTAATTTAATGTACTAATGAGTTAAAAATTTGAGTAGACTATTGGGGGGAATGAGAGGTGGACCTAGGCAGAGGAAGTGGGTCACCGGGACTGTGCCTTTGAGGGTGCACGCTGGCACTTGTCTCTTTGAAGCCCTTTTCTCTCCTTCTTGGCCTCCATCAGGTGCTACTGGCTCCTACTGCCCCATCACGCTTCATCTCAAGTCCACAGCAAAGGGTCCAAATGTTCTAATGTTCGAGACTGAACTCTCTCAAACCCTGAGCTAAAGCAACTCTTTTCTCCTTTGGTTAGGGATGTTGACTCAGCCATTAAATCACCCTTATTCTGCCATAGTTTTCAAGGCTGCAACAGCGATTAGCAATAGCTGGCCAATTCTTCCATCCTTAAGAGCTGGTCGCTTCTATATTTCTCAGTCATCTGAAACAGAAGCTGGGCAGCTCAGCTTACTGCCTGAAGTTGTAATAAATGTGCTACCCCAGCATCCTAGGGGCTGTGGGGTCTGTTTTCCATCACTGAGTGGGGCTCCCATCCTGTAAGCCAGGAGGCAGAAGGAGGTGCAAAATCCCACTGGCTCTCCTTTCTTATGCCACTTCTTCAAGCATCACAGCTTGGGCTTCCTGAGAAGCAAATTGGAGTTGAAATTAGAGGATAGATTAGGGGCTGCTAGCTCGGGCAGGAAAGGAAGGCCCGTGGGGCAGAGGGAGAAGTGGGGATAGCACAAACACAAAGGCAGCCTCTGGCCGGGTATAGTGGCACAGGCCTTTAATTCTAGCACTTGGGAGGCAGAGACAGGAGGATCTCTGGAGTTCAAAGTCAGCTTGATCTACATAGTGAGTTCCAGTACTGCTAGGGCTATGTAGTGACCCTGTTTTAAAAAACAACAAATTCAAATCCAAACCACTCACAAAATACCCACAAGGCAGAGTAAACTGTCCCTGCGTATGGGAACTCTGGAACTGAGATAAGCATTATGATCATCCCAATGTGGGCAGTACGGTGACTCTTTGAACGCAGGCTGCCTAGAAAGGATGACTGACTGGTTGCTGTGTCCAGCTAGGACAAGCATGGAGACGTCTCATAGAAGATCAGCCACGCTCCCAGAAGAGGCTAGGCCATCGTGCATTTAAGAATCTAACCTTTTCCAGCCTTTCCCCACAACTTTTCAAATGCATGTATTTTGACACTTCTGTATTGATTGATTATATGTGTGCGTCGTAGCACACTTGCGGAGGTCAGAGAACCACGCGTGGGAGTCAGCTCTCTCCTTCCTCCAGGTGGTTCTGAGAATCAGCAAGCTGTCAAGGTTAGCAGCAAGCCCCCTGACCACTGAGCCATCTCCTGCTCTTTTTCTAACCTTTAAATCAAGTCAAATCTTTGAAATATTCTGGTAAAAGAATCGAATGAATCGGAAACGTTTCTGTTGTCATCATTTCTGTATTAACCCTTTTTCAAACCACTAACTCACCAACAAATGGTTGTGTCAAGAAAAAACACAGTGTTGCGTAGGATTAGGATTGATTGCAAAAATCAAACAGTGATGCCCACAGATACCTGTGGATCGTCCTTCAGCTACAGAACTTTACCTTTGAATTTCTGCAGTAAGCTAGCGGCATGCAGATAACAAGCCATCCAAACGAAAATGTCCATCAGAGCGTTCACCTACAAAGAAGAAAGCTACGATCAAATAAGTAGCTATTTAATAAAATAAGCGGAGCCCCCGTTGTAAGAACAGCTCTTTATTCAGCCATGTTCCCTGAAATTCAGCAGTGACATTCAACACAAGCCTCAACACTCTAGTCTAAAGCAGGATTCACGTCACAAAGCCTCGCCCCCAAAGGGAGTTGCAGCAGCAGCGAGACTGTTGCTCGCAGGACTTTACCACCTCATGGTCGGTCAAACACGCAGGTTCATCCAGCGAGCCTGAGCTTGTAAAAGGGGTGCTGCATTCAGCCTTGTGTACAAAGTTTATAAATACAACATACCAGTACAAAGTTGAAGCCATTAAAAAGAGCTGAACAGCAACTACCAGGAGACAATTGGATCTGGAAGGCCGACAGACCCCGAAGAGACGTGGACAGGACAGGACGCTCAACGTGTATCGCAGTAAATGTGCCCCTGGGAAGAGGTGCGAGGGGGACGGAGGCGCGGCTGCAGAGCTCAGCCGCAGAGCTCAGCTGCCCGCTCCTACTTCCTTTCTGCTATTATCTTTAAATACTGCAGAGCATTGTGCGCGGCGTCGCTCTGTGCATTGCTGCAGGAGATGCCTGAGCCATGACACACGGTGATAGGACTGGTGGACAGTTCTGCGAGACACTGATACTGTCCGTTGGCACTCAGTTCCTCTGTAACGACACATGTAAACATGACAGTCAGTGCTGGGTGTGCGTAAAGCAAATCCTTTAGAAAAGGTTTTTTTTTTTTTTTTTTTTTTTTTTAATTTCTGGTTTTTCAAGACAAGTTTCTCTGTAGCTCTGGAGCCTGTCCTGGAACTAGCTCTTATAGACCAGGCTGGCCTCGAACTCACAGAGATCTGCCCACCTCTGCGTCTGAGTGCTGGGATTAAAGGCCAGTCTCCAAACCAACAATAAAACAAAAAGGAACAAAACAAAACAAGTCAGGATAAACAAGAGACCATACCTATGTCCAGATACGTTATGGTAAAGCCTTGCTCCTTGGCAATCTCACTCAGAAGTTGGATGTAGTCTGTGTTCGGGAGACTGAGGAGGCTTCTTTTTAGTAAGTTGATCTTTTCACCAGGGGAATTCCTCAATGAATGCCAAGTACATCCTAGGGAATGTCCGACCATATTTGTCTAAAAAGCAGAGATGAAGGAGATTCAGCTTACTAGCCCCCACCCCCAGCCTCAGCGCCAGTGTAACTGAAAGCACTGGTTAGGAGCTGGAGAGACAGCCCAGGGCTCAGAGCACGGGCTGCTTTTCCAGGGGACCCAGGGCTTAGAGCACAGGCTGCTTTTCCAGGGGACCCAGGGCTCAGAGCACGGGCTGCTTTTCCAGGGGACCCAGGGCTCAGAGCACGGGCTGCTTTTCCAGGGGACCCAGGGCTAAGAGCACAGGCTGCTTTTCCAGGGGACCCAGGCTTGTTTCTTTCCAGCATTAGGTCTAGGAGAGATGCTGCCAACAGAAAGGCTTTTATTTTAATAAGTTCTTCCAACTTGGGCCAGAAAGATGGCTCAGCAGATGAAGACTCTTGATACCAGCAGGTGAGGACTCTTGATGCTCAGTCTGATGCCCGAGTTTGATCTCTCAGACCCACATGGCAAAGGAAGAGAGCCGGCTCTTCCAGCAAGCTGCCCTCTGCTTTGCACACATATGCACCGTGCCCTCCCATGCCCAAATAAATGTAAGAAATACTTCCTGTTCGATTTCAGAACTAATTTACAAACCCACCAACTGACAGAGCTTGTGTTTTCACACTCTTGCTAATACCAGTTAGTTATTAAACACTGTAGCTTTTACTAACTTAAAAGGTAAAAATATCTTATTTTGCATGAATAAACTGAATATTTTTCTTTTCTTTCTTTTGTAATTTCCTACTGGGATTTTTTTTAAAATTTATGTGCATGCACTTTATATGTATGAACACTGGCTTCTTTCTTTGTTTTAGTTATATTGCTTTTATTTACAGAATTTTGGTTGTACTGTAGATTCTAGCCAAATTCATTTGTTTTCGATTCTAGATTTTAAGTTATAATTAAAACCTTTCCATGCCTAAGATTTTTTTCGAAAAGATATCATGTTTTCTAATACTTACAGTTGTATTTATGCTCAGTCCTTGATCTGTCTGGGACTTCTGTTGGTACGGGGATAAGCAATTGACGTACATGACGACATACATACAAAGACCCTATCTGGCACCCTCACACAGGGCTTTCAGCTGTCTGCCTCACAGCTGAGCCATCCCTTTCCTAACTGCTCCGAAACCACTGCCATCATCATAGGTGTCTGTGCACTTGCACCTGCTCCTGAGTTCCGTTCTGCTCTCCCACCAGCACCCGGTGGTTTTACAGTTTCACTGTTTGCTTTATTCTCTGGGAAGGCAAGCACCCTAGCCCACTTCAAATTCTTGCTTTCTAGAGCTCTTGGCTCTGTTCAAGGATTTGCCTTTTGATTTTTTCCAGATAAGCCTAGTAAAATCCTTGTGAGTTCCAAACTGAAGTCTGGAAGATTTAGAGTAAGACAACTTATATTTTTATATATTTACTATATCAAGTGTCTGTGTGAAAAGAAATAAGGCCACAATAATCTAATTTTTATTATATTCTTCAGGGGGGTTTTTAAGTGTTCCTATGTGATCCAGTTTTTTTCTATTCCAGTTTACCTCAACATAACGCTCTGATTTTAATATTGAAAATGGATTTCATGGATTTTTTTACACTCTAGCTCTTACTTTATAAATAAGAATATTATTGACTTTTTTCTAGTATACTTTTTTTTTTCCAGAATAGATTTTCTATTTTTTCGGAAAGTGTCAAATTTTGTTTTGGTGTGTGTGTGTTGTGTGGTATGGTATATGTGGGCACGTGGTATGTGTGCACGTGGCTGTGTGTGGTATGGTATATGTGTGCACGTGGCTGTGTGTGTGGTATGGTATATGTGTGCACGTGGCTGTGTGTGGTATGGTATATGTGTGCACGTGGCTGTGTGTGGTATGGTATATGTGTGCACGTAGTATGTGTGCACGTGGCTGTATGTGGTATGGTATATGTGTGCACGTGGCTGTGTGTGGTATGGTATATGTGTGCACGTGGCTGTGTGTGTGGTATGGTATATGTGTGCACGTGGCTGTGTGTGGTATGGTATATGTGTGCACGTAGTATGTGTGCACGTGGCTGTGTGTGGCATGGTATATGTGTGCACGTGGCTGTGTGTGGTATGGTATATGTGTGCACGTGGTATGTGTGCACGTGGCTGTGTGTGGTATGGTATATGTGTGCACGTGGTATGTGTGCACGTGGCTGTGTGTGGTATGGTATATGTGTGCACGTGGCTGTGTGTGTGGTATGGTATATGTGTGCACGTGGCTGTGTGTGGTATGGTATATGTGTGCACGTGGCTGTGTGTGTGGTATGGTATATGTGTGCACATGGCTGTGTGTGGTATGGTATATGTGTGCACGTGGTATGTGTGCACGTGGCTGTGTGTGGTATGGTATATGTGTGCACGTGGTATGTGTGCACGTGGCTGTGTGTGGTATGGTATATGTGTGCACGTGGCTGTGTGTGTGGTATGGTATATGTGTGCACGTGGCTGTGTGTGGTATGGTATATGTGTGCACGTGGTATGTGTGCATGTGGCTGTGTGTGTGGTATGGTATATGTGTGCACGTGGCTGTGTGTGTGGTATGGTATATGTGTGCACGTGGCTGTGTGTGGTATGGTATATGTGTGCACGTGGTATGTGTGCACGTGGCTGTGTGTGGTATGGTATATGTGTGCACATGGCTGTGTGTGGTATGGTATATGTGTGCACGTAGTATGTGTGCACGTGGCTGTGTGTGGTATGGTATATGTGTGCACGTGGATGTGTGTGGTATGGTATATGTGTGCACGTGGTTGTGTGTGGTATGGTCTATGTGTGCATGTGGTGTGTGTGTGTGTTGTGTGTGGTATGGTATATGTATGCACGTGGTATGTGTGCACGTGGTTGTGTGTGGTGTGGTATATGTGTGCACGTGGTTGTGTGTGGTGTGGTATATGTGTGGACGTGGTATGTGTGAGAATGCGCCTCCACCTGTGTCAACATTCTCCACCTTATTGTTTGAGTCGGGGTCTCTCCCTGAGCCTGGAGCACACAGATGCATCTGGCCTGGCTGACCAGCAAGCCTCGAGAGTCCTCTTGTGTCCGTCTTCCCAGCACTGGGATCACAGGCCACTGTGGCTGGCTTTATAGAAGTGCCACATTTCTGAACTTAGTCCTTCTGGTGGCATGACAAGCATTTAACAGACTCAGCCATCCCCCAAGCTCTTAGGTTTTTGGTAGCCTACGTACATCTACTCATAGACAAAAACATTCCAAAGTCCACAGTAGGAAAAGACAGCCTCTTGCCTCACCCTCTCCTCACCTTCAATTGCTTTCCCCAAAACAATAAATTTAACCTTCTCTTTTTACTACTCTAGTGTTACTTTCCTAAGACTAAAGAATGTGAAAACTACTGACTCCGTACACTATTTTAATGAGCAGTTACCTTGAAACATTCTGTTACTGTTTCTAGTAGGGGTTTACTTTTGAGTCAAAGTCTCCTGCAGTTAGAGATGCCTTCAACTTGTTATGTAGCCAAAGGAAGCTTTGAACTTGGGGTCTTGCATCCACCTCCCAGTGCGCCACCATACCCAGCTCTCCAGGAGTTTGCAGAATTAGAACCGGATTATTTGCATCTAGCAAACACTTCTGGCTCACCCTTTCTTGTTTCCAGTTTTACTCTATTTCCTGTCATCTAATCGTGTTCTTGATATTTCTAGAACAAGGTCAAATAAAGCCTCTTACTTGATATCCTGTTTTATCTTCTATTTTAATGAGACGATTGTAATGCAGACATGTAACCATGATTTTAATATCTTTTTGGATTTTGTTTTTATCAGTTATGACTGCTACAATTATCTTTTAAGCATCTATTGAAAAGATTGCTTCTCTTTTTCCCTATAAGTGAGCCATAAGTTCTGTGAGGATGCTTCTGCCGTTGAGCCACCGTGTAGGTGCGGGGTACTGACCCTGGATGCTCTTAGCCACTGAGCCATCTCCCCAGCTCCTCTAAAACTCATTTTAAAATATACTCACTTCTCTCTCCACTTCCTGTGCCTCTACCTTAGCTTATGTTATCTTATTGCATCTGTTTTCTATAATACCACTCTAGGGGTCTCTCTGGTCCTCATATTCATTTATTCCCCATAATCCAACAAAGTGATTTCCCTTCTAACAAACAAATTAGATCTTTTTTTTCCTGCCAAGATAAAATTTGTTAATGACTTGGCACTACCCTCAGTATGAATGGTAAGCTCTTTAGTTTAGTCAGTCGATTTAAGACATGATCACTCTTTGCCTGCCTGGGCTCACTCTTTGAGAATTCCCTCCTCTGCCACCATGATCTGGACTTACCAACTGCTAACAATTCTTTGACTATATATGGCTTTTTACTCGGGGGACTTTGCGGTTGCCATCTTCGCTTGGAAATTTACTTGCCCTACTTTCATCCCGTCTCTCGGCTTAGACGTTACTTCCTCCTGGAGACGGTCCTGAAACCCTAGTCTTGGCTAGCTGCCTTCTTCCACGTTCTTGTCCCACCCTCCACCTGGACTATCTATAGCATACTGTCTTTCAGTCGGCTGCCAAACTAGTTAGAGGCAGAAGCCAGCTGCATACCGACACGGTGCAAGCTCACCAAATGATCATGAAGTGGACAGATAATAAGCAAGCCAAGGAATGGCTATAGAAAGAAGCACCGCTGGTCCACTGTCTGTTACTTTGCCTATTTGACCCTCGTACATGCTGAGTACAAAGCCATCCACTGTGCCACACTCTTGGCTGAGATCTTATTTTCAGACCCCATCCCGAGACTCTGAATCACCTGAACCAACTCTAGCCCAATCCAGGAGGCAACAAAAATTGGAGTCACAAGTAACTCGACACAGCAGAGAGTATTAAAGATGGCAACTCTGAAGTGTTCACACAAGAAATGAAGGGACATTTCCTGTAGTCGGAGATGCTCAGTCATAATAGAATCCAATTGCCTGGTTATTACTTACTAGAGAAATGTGGTTCTCTGGAGAAATATTACTAAATTTGGCAAGAAATTTCTCAGCAGCATTTCTCTTGGCTTGTTTTTTGGATGCTCCCTTTCCTAGGTAAAAGAAAGAAAGAAACAGTAGATTTAGAAGTTAATGTTCACAGAATATGACCAAGTGTTTTATTAGTGAATACCTCAGGATTTTCATACACCGGACCAGAATTTTCTTATTGCATTAACATCTTTATTTGTTATAATATATAGTATAGATATATCTCAATATACCCTACATCCAAAGTCCTTCTGTGTTCACCTTTATTAAGTCTGCCACCGCTTAGCTGCCATACTAAAATACACACACACACACACACACACACACACACACAAAAGAGTGAAAGCCAGGGGCCTACATATGCTAGGTAAGTGCTCTATCATTAAGCTGTATCACTAGCCCTCAAACAACCATTAATTATTTTTGAAAATATCTGTGTGTGTGTGTGTGTGTGTGTGTGTGTGTGTGTGTGTGTGATGTGTACATGTGAAGACATCTGTGTGTGGCTGGGCCCACTCATGTTGGTGCCCAGGGAGACCAGAGGTCAACGTTGGATGTCTCCCTCTGCTGCTTTTCATCTCTGTTACTTTTTGTTGTTGTTTTATTATTTCTTTTTTCAAACAGCATCTTTCCCTGGACCTGGAGCTCGCTATTCAGTGGCACCAGCTGGCCAGCTCACCCCAGGGAATCTATGTGCCTCATTCTGTGCCCCCTGGCCATCAAGTGGGTGCTGAGGATTCCAGCTCAGGCTCATGTTTGTGCAGCGAGCAGTGAACCCACTAAGCCATTCCCCCAGCCCAGTTTTTCTTCAATAATTAAACTTTGCAGCACAAAGTGAGTCCTTAGATCTAGCACACGAATCATGTGTGGTTTAATTCTGACCAACTAGATTTATCAAATATACATAAATTATAACCCCTAACTCTTAATTTTAAAATGGTCAAGTGTTGCTTCTTTTTTTTTCACTGAATATTTAGCCTAAAAAGAGCATGGTTCTACCCAGTCTATGAGGAGTGGGCAGTTACTTTTCCTACTTATTACAGAATCTTTGTGGTTGAGTTGACCAGATGGCTCTCAGTACCTGTGAACGGGACCCCTCTGCTTTCATCCCATGATACAATCTCAAAGGCCAGTAAACTCCCTTAACCCCTAACTCTAATTTCTTTCTTTCTTTTTAATATTTATTTATTATGTATACAATATTCTGTCTGTGTGTATGTCTGCAGGCCAGAAGAGGGCACCAGACCTCATTACAGATGGTTGTGAGCCACCATGTGGTTGCCGGGAATTGAACTCAGAACCTTTGGAAGAGCAGGCAATGCTCTTAACCTCTGAGCCATCTCTCCAACCTCCTCTAATTTCTTGTTTATCATCTAGTTGCCAACTTATAAAAGATGATATGTGAATTAAAAAAAAACATTAATAAGGGTATAGGAGATACTGGGATTGAAAGGTTAAAAATCTACTTTTAGGCTGGGTGGTGATGACTCACTCCTTTAATTCCAGCACTCAGGAGGCAAAGGCAGCCTGGTCTTCCAGGACAGGCTCCAAAGTTACAGAGAAACCCTGTCTTGAAAAAAAAAAAATCTACTTCTATATTTTAGTTTTATAGATTTAAAAACTGAGGCTAGCCAGACATGATAATAGTTCACACCTTTGATCCCAGCACTTGGGAGGCAGAGGCAGCTGGATCTCAGTAAATTCAAGGTCAGCCTGGTCTACAAATCGAGTTCTAGAGCTGCCAGTGCTACATAATAGAGAGAGACCCTGTCTCAAAAACAAAAACACAAAACACCTGGAGATATGTCAGTCACAGAACACTTGCCTAGCGCATGACAGGTGCATGTTAAATATCCAATACCACTAAACAATTAATAAATCAATCAGAAACCCAAGGAGATTACGAAGTTTGCTTAACCCTTTAAACCAAGGACTCCAGGAAGAACAGAAGCCGCACTGGCCCACACTACCACTTAGGAGAAAACACTGGCCTATTGTGTCTAATGTTCAGCTAAGGTCTCATCTGTGTAGTGCTGGGGACAGGACCCAGGGCCTCATTTGGGCTAGGTAAGCCTTCCACCACTGCTCTTCACACATCGTTCATGCAATCCCATTTTAATCTACTTTAGAAGTGACCAACAGGCCAGAGAAGTTAACACGGGAATTCTCACTAGCACTTTTTAAAGGGACAGTTTTTTCCTCAGAGCTTATGTCCTTTATAAATCAAAATTTGCTGCAATTAAAAAGGACAACCTCTGCTATCTCCTTGTAATTTATGATATTATTCTTTATATTTTATGATTTCAGGGACTGGAACTAGGACCTCACACATGCCAACCAGACATGCTATCATTAAGATAAACACCCTCACTAGCTCACCACAATTTTTTTCGCCGTTTAGTCTCTCATTCCTCACCTCATCTTTCTAGTCCAGTGAAAACTACTTAAGGCAAAGAGCCTACAATTAGCCTGTCTTTTCAGCTACAGCCTCATTTTAGAAACATCAAATTCAGAAACATAACTATTCTCGGAAAGTCACAGATAGTAGAAAAGAGACATCAATATTCACAAAGCCACATGATAGAAATTTCTATAGCAGTTCACCATCTGGAAATATCGCAAATGCCTCTGATTGTAAGGATCAAGTACCTGTTTCCATGAATGACTCTAGCCGGCAAATAGTGGTGTATTCTCTCTTATGAGCAGGGCCTCCTTCCTGGGAAAGGGTATATTCAGGAAGTCGCCAGCCGTGGTGAATAGCCAGTTCCTGTAAAATCAATCAGGTTATGATAGCAACTTTAACTATTCGACGGCTCAGTCACACAAATGATATTTCTCTTTGATTCTGGTTCTGGTCATGTGCTTGACAAGAAGCACGGTACTGGCCAACAGAACCCAGAGGAAAGCCCTGATATCCCCATAGGCGATCCCACATCTTATATTCCTCTATCCAATGCCCAAACCAAAGCAGTTTGGTACCATTGGCGGTACTTTTCTGGTGTGCCATAGTGAGCTGATGCCTGAGTTCACTGAGGAAGGCAGACTACATTTATGGTTTTCTTTCCCTTTTTGCTAGAATTAAGCAATTACGTGGCTACCTCTCTCCTCTCGAACTAGTTACATAGCCATGGTTCTGTCTCAACAGAAGCAGAAAGAGGGTTTTTTGTTTTGTCTCATTTTGTTTTACTTTTCCAAGAGCAGTGAAAAATGCCATAATCTTTTTTTTTTTTTTTTTTTTTTTTTGGTTTTGAGACAGGGTTTCTCTGTGGCTTTGGAGCCTGTCCTGGAACTAGCTCTGTAGACCAGGCTGGTCTCGAACTCACAGAGATCCGCCTGCCTCTGCCTCCCGAGTGCTGGGATTAAAGGCATGCGCCACCATCGCCCAGCTAAAATGCCATAATCTTAAAGCATAAACTCGCTACCCAACTGCTTCTTGACCTTTTGGCAAAGTCAGGTATTAACACTCTACCCTGTTACACCAAGGCCTGTTTATACCGAGTGACGATTCCATTAAACAAGGCAAATACTGAACAGGAAGAAAGTCCAAAAGCAAGTTAATAAGAGAATAATCTCAAACTAGCTATGGACAATGCAATGATCACTGCTTAAGAAACAAAATACTTGTTTTGTCTACTGTCCAATGTCTCTCTGCAGCTGCTGTTCTTTCTCATTAGCATTAAGAAAATTCAAGGTTAATAAAACATTATGCAATATAAAAAAACAAAATACTCATTGCTGGGGCCTAATGACATATGCCACCATTAATCTCAGCACTCAGGAGTCAGAGGCAGGTGGAGTTCTGTGAGTTCAAGGCCAGCCTGGTCTACAGAGTAAGTTCCAGGATACCACAGTCACATAGAGAGACCCTGTCTCAAGATCACACACACACACACACACACAGAATGAAAGAAAGAGAAAATGCTCATATTCCCCCCATTATATTTAAACCCATTTGTCTTGGTCTCTGTGATAGTACAAACTCATTACACTTCAGTCAGACAAAACAGTATGGGAAACTAACCTACCTGTAACGAGCCGATTGGATTCAGCTGGTTCTTTGGCTGTTTGGATGGATCAGGCATTAAGGGGTCAGGAACTGCAAAACTAAACATTATTTAAAGGTGTTATTAAATAAAGCAAATTCCTCTGAGTTACTAAGTAGATGACAATGTATTCTCCACTCAAACTCCTCTGCCTAAGCTCCCCATTCCTCCTACATGGACTGAATGCCCCTCACGCTGACTCCTTTGGGAATCTGATTGACCCATCATCTAAGAGCTAGGTCAGGCATCATTTCCAGACATCGACTCTGTTACCTCAATGGATCGTGATCTCTCGTTCTTCCTGAAACACTGTACCACCAAAGTCGGTGGCACATGCCTATAATCTCACCATTCTGGAGGCAGAGGCAGGGGGATCAGGAGGTCAAAGCCAGCCTTAAACATAGCAAGTCTGAGTTCTATATTTAAAAAAATCTTAATCTGGCTCTTTAAAAAGTTGTTGGACCGTAAATTATCCACTGTTGCCCTCAGTCTATCCATCCCTCTCCTAATTCTTTCTGACTCACATTGAACACTAATCGGTGATAGGGCCTACGCATTTCTTACTTACATAAGCTTTGTACATAACCAACTCAATAAAATATAAATATGGAGGGCTGTGGATCAAAACCCTTGCCACTCTTACAGAGAACTTGAGTTTGGTTCCCAGTTCCCGTAGGGTCAGGATGGCTAACAACCATCCATAATTTCAATTCAGGGGATCAAACACCTTTTTTTGTCTACTGTAGGCACCAGGCACAGATGTAGTACACATACATACATACAAACAAAATACTCATACACACAAAATAAAAACAAATAAATTTAAAAACAGTTTCAGGAAGAGTGCATGTAACTATAATTTGGGACTATAGAAGAGGGTTGGTTGGACAAAGAGGCAGGGAGAGAGGGGCAGGAGTCATATAGATGCATGCATGAGGTTCTTAAAAATTATATATCATAGTGTGCATATATGAACATATGCATGTATAAAGTACATTACTTTTATTTATGTACTTTATGTGTATGGGTGTTTTGTATGAGGGCATCAGATCTCATGGGACTACAGTTATAGATGGTTGTGAGCCACCATGAGGGTAGTGGGAATTAAACTCAGGACCTCTGAAAGAGCAGTCAGTACTCTTAACCACTGAATCCTCCCTCCAGCTCCTGAAAACAACTTAAAAAAAAAAAAGCACAACCATTAGTCAGGAAATTTAGCTGTAGCAATGCAGTTATCTAGGCTATAAGTGCTTTTTCATCCAGATATCTAGGCAAGAAAAATTTGTTCTGTTATCTACTTGGTATAAGGTTAATTCTCTGAGATTCTGATGCATCTTGCATAAAGTAGACACCCTACATGAATGTGGTCTTAACATGTGTGTGGGGATTCTAACCAGGGGAAAGACCAGTCTCTTTTAGGGGGTTTGCAATTACGAGTTACTGAGGAAATCAAGGCCTAGTTCTGGAGACACTGCACTCCACGCTGACAGCTCCACAATGCAGGCAACTCAAGAGTCACTTCTGTCGTGACACGTGAGGTTCTGCTACCGCCATCTCCTCCAACTGCCAAGTTTAACCCAGGCTGACAGGACAGATGAGAATTCACTTACAATGCTGCATGCCGAAGCTAGGCAAGTAATTGGGATGGAGAAGTGAGAAAGTCTCTGTACTAAACCAGGCCACTGTAGGCCTGATTACAGCTTAATAATTCCCATCTTATCTGTCAAGAAGCACAAATACATCGTAAAGTTTGTTAGCCTTTCACGGTGACAGAGTGAAATGCCCATGCGCAGAGACGATAAGCTGTTTGTTGGGTTTTACAAATGTACCCAGCGCTCTGGGATAACTTTTGGGCTGCATAGCACAGGAGGGCCACCACCCACAGGTGGAAGGGCTCAAAAGCTGTGCTACAAGAAGTGTGACTTGAAAGCCAGCATAAGTCACTTATATACAGAGGAGTAAGCATCGCCTTGTGAGTGCAGGCCTGAGGCAAGCACGTATCTTAAAGGTAAATATGGTACTAGTTTTAAAACACCCCAAAGCTTTGGAGTGACTGAGAAAGAGAGCTACTGCGTGGATCTTAAATATTCTCCTAAATCTCTAAGTCTCACTATGGCTGGAGAACAAAAACCAGTCTACCCTAAACTCCACTGGCCTTTTGACCAACGCTAGGCAGATTGCACAAGACTGAACTCCAGGCATCTCTGGGCATGTGTAAGAGAGGAAACTGAAGGCTTGCCATGTTCCACAGTGGGCTAAGTGTAAATCGGAGACATAATTTATGAGCTATACAATGCTGCAAGGCCAATACTCTTTCTAAAAGCACTAACAGTGGCAGACATTTCCACTCGGAAACGTATGGAATTACTATCCGACTTAACATACCCCTGTACTTGATGCAGGAAAGGTACATTCTTGCCTCCTTTTCCCAGATGAGAACTCCTAAGAGTGCTTTCAACTAGGTAGAGTAATATATGCCTACAATACTAGCACCAAAGAGGATGAGGAAGGAGGACCATTAGCTGGAGCCCAGTCTGGGCTGCATAGTGAATTTGAGGGCAGCTATGTTTTATATAGGTATGCATTAAAAAAAAAGTAAGACCATCTTTTAAAAGAAGAAAAGTACTATTTTTACTGACCTTTTTCCATCTTACATCTTATTTTCTTTAGTGTACAAAAAAATCAATTAAAAATAACTACCCTGTATATTAAGAATATTTAAAAAAAAGAATATTAATATCTGCCACAAATGCTGATTGCACTCCAGCATGACCCAGTAAAGCCTGGTCCACGACAGCCTCCCACGAGCAGCTAACTGCCAGATTTAATAGGCTTAAATTGTCTCTAATGGACGGCAGGCTTTCACAGATATGGGATTTTAGAGCGAAGACACGGCCAACCGCTCACTCTGTTGCTTTTGCGAGCATGTTAAAATTTTTCTTCTTACCTCAGCCATGACGACTTTGAGCTGCAGAATACAAAGAAATTTAGCTCACCAGATACTTGCGTTGGCTTTCAAAATGTTGATGGCGGCCTCTGCAGCTCTGTGCTTTGCCAGCTTCTTACTGGTCCCTTCACCTGAGTTAAAGATGGGGAAGAAAGGTCTCAGTCTCTGTGAGGAGGCATGGGCTCCATAGCTGTCGTCAGAGTGCGAAACAAAGTCACCGTATGCATGCTTGCTTGAAGCCACCCACCACCACGTGCAGTTATATTACTATCACACTCAACCTGCACAGCCAACACCTCAAAGTCATTTTTAAGAGTATTACTTATTTGAGTTTCTGCATAAGTACATAAAACATGATTTCTATATTGACTATATTATATATAGAATAGGGATAAGCTAGATCATATCGCACCTCCTGAAGAAACAAAACTTAGCATTTTGCTCTTTGTTGTGAGATACTTATAAACTGTGTGAAAATGTATTGCTGTGATTGGTGTAATTAAGAGCTGAATAGCCAATAGCTAGGCAGGAGGTATAGGCGGGGCTTCTGGGCAGAGAGAGGGGAGGGAGGAAACAAACCTAGGAGCACAAGAGGTGCCAGTGGGACTTTAAAGAAGAACAGTAGGGATCAGAGGTCATGGAGCCATGCAACAGAACATAGATTAAAATAAATGGGTTAATTCAAGTTTAAGAGCTAGTGGGAGAAGCCTAAGCTAAGGCCAAGCTTTCATAATTAATAAGAAGTCTCTGTGTCATTATTTGGGAGTTGGCTGGTGGGACAGAAGAAGACTCATTACACTTGGTGCCTAACGCATGGCATGTAAATTCACATAGGGCCCGAGAAAGCTGGAAAAAAGTTCCAAGCAGCTCCTTGTTGGTAGCGTATACAGGCTCTGGTACCAAGAGGCCCTGCTGTTAAGCACTTGAATGGGGTTTCTAGCAACAGGTGGCACACTACTTGATGACAGGAGACTATGTAGATGATCCTACTGGAGCTGGGGCACAACAACAGGCCCCTTGCAGGCATGAGGCTCCACTTTCACCAAATTGAGGGGGAGGGAGCCAGCTGCCAGAGCTGCCCAGTGTCTGGTGTGGCCATTTAAGGTTGGTCTTGCAGTCAGAGAGGCTGCAGGTGCACTGCAAAGTGGTTCAGACCAAGGATACCTTTAAACAGATATAGTTTAAAAATGAATATAGACAGTCATAAAAAAATAGTTTAAAAATAAAAAAATTGAGTCTTTAAAGAGAGAGTAAAATAATATTTAATAAATAAATCATGTAAAGATGGGAAATACACAGGGTGCCTGGATCCTGTATGGTACGTTGTTGACTTTGAATTTTTCAAATACTAACGTACAAAAAACAATCTGTTGAGAGACATTGGATTATGGAAACTACTGAATTAAACCAACTTATATATTTTAAGAATGTTTTCACTTCAGAATGGAAATCAGAAAATATGTTGCATTGGGAGAAAAGTGATGCCTTTGTTTCCACTAGAAACAAAAAGTTATGGTTCTCTTCAAAATTAATGAAAATCAGATTTGATTGGGGGTAAGCCTTCTGAAAATGTTGGGTACAGATATTAAAAAGAAACCAAGAAAGACTACAGGACAGATGTTGAGTCTACTTTTGAACAACCACTAGTCTCAAGTATGTTACATTGACGTGGATTTTTGTATATTGATACAACAAAAATAACCTCTATATTTTCTACTCTTATTTAAGGTATTATACCCATGCATCTCACGAACAAATGTAAAGTTCTAGTCCTTGAAAGTTATTAAAGATAATAAAGAAAAACAGGTTAATAGTTCATCATCTGTAACAATCAAACTTATAGTCATGTTAGGTATATTTTCAAGATCAAACAGAGATATATTTAAAATGGATAGATGGTATTCAAATACTTCACAGTCTTGCAGAAATATGGAATTTAAAATGTTTTAATAACATAAGGCTTTTCATGACAGTGAACCATGTCTGTTTCTAGAAGCATCAATTTACTTCAAAAAAAGGATGATGGGCATCAAATAACCTCCATATGGAGTTTGCTTTCAATGTGACAAAGCTAGCCATTTGGGCTAGCCATAAGATAAAGTTAGGCCCTTGCCTTGACTGCTGACAGTGTGCTGTCCACACTGGGCAAGCAGGACACAAAAGAAAGTGACTGTTGAAATTTACCAAGACAGGGTAGGATAGTCCTTCAAAATTCCTGCTTTGCAGAAAAGCCTGTCAGATATTCTAGCCTCATCGACCTAAGATGGATGCCCCAATGTTACAGAGGAACCTTGGGTGACTGCCCAAGTAGCCAGACAACTCTGTTATTTCTATAATTTTGGAAGTTACTTGCTCTACACTTCCTGTTATATCCTTCTCAGATCTTTGATGGGGTTAAAGACTAGGTAGTTATAGTTTTATAGTTTTTCTTATTACCAAATTAAAAAAAACTTACATAAAAGATATAAAGTTTATAAGGTTGAGAGACATGAAAGTTTAAATTATTTTAAGTTATTTAAGTCTAAGATATTTTGGGGTCTAAAAAAATATTTTTAGGATGGTAATACAAGTTATGATAGAAAATGGTTTAAGTATAAAACTTTGCATTTACTAAGATAGATTAGATAATAGAGTATTTTCTCCAAATATGCCAAATACAAATGGACTGGATATTTTGAATGCAATTCTTACCTGATAACTGTTCTTATTGTATATAGTTTTACTATATTGTGGGATATTTGTATACTGTGTGAAAATGTATTGCTGTGATGGGTATAATAAAAAGCTGAATGGCCAATAGCTAGGCAGGAGGTACAGGCAGGACTTCTGGTCAGAGAGGAAGAAAGCAGGAGATGAATCTAGGCGCATGAGAGACAACATCAGCGGGACTCTAAAGGAGTCAGACATTGTACAGATTACAGGTAACTGAGCCAAGCGACAGACTGTAGGTTAAAATAAATGGGTTAATTTAAGTTTAAGAGCTAGTGGGACAAGCTTAAGTTAAGGTTGAGCTTTCATAATTAATAATAAATAAGTCTTCGTGTCATGATTTGGGAGCTGGCTGGTGGAACAAAAAAGTCACTACAATTCTTCCTTTTTCCCAGACAGAGAGGTTCTTCTGCAGCAAGTTTTCTTTAAAGAAGTCACTGACAGTCCCTGTTCTAGCTAAGCAGGCAGGATTACACATCACGCGCAGTAGAGAAGGGTCAACATACAGAAGGCGAAGCTTACGTCACAAGCCTTCCACACAATAGGTAAAAGCTAACATGGGTAGACAAGGGGAGGGCGTTGGAAGACCTAACTCTTCATTTCAGCCATCACATGAGGTAAATGGTGAAGTCTGTCTTTTCCTTCTGAGTTCAAATCCCCAAACTCATGGAGAATGCTTTCAAGTATGACCCTCAAGTATCAGAGGACACAGAGTCCTATACTCCCTCTCATCTACTAAAACAGACACTGGCTGAACAGAATCTCTTCTTCTCTAGGACTGACAGTCAAATGTATGTTAACAGATACCGGAAATACAAAGGGCATGCTGTAAGCCTCAGTGTAAGCTATAAGGAGGCACACGAGATCAGCAGCTTGCCAGGTGTGACCATCCAGTACCACCTGTTCAGAAGGCTGAGGCAGGAGGATTGGGAATTAAGGGCCAGCTTGAGCTCCCACCAGAAACCATATCAAAATCAAAAAGGAAAAAATTAGCAGTTTAGCTACTCTTGGAGACACTCATGAAGTTTTCATGGGGGAAGGGAGAACTATATAGACTAAGACAAGCCAAAGCCAGTGAAGTGAGGGAGAGCCTAGGACTGGGAGAGCCTAGGACTGGGAGAGCCTAGGACTGGGAGAGCCTAGGACTGGGAGAGCCTAGGACTGGGAGAGCCTAGGACTGGGAGAGCCTAGGACTGGGAGAGCCTAGGACTGGGAGAGCCTAGGACTGGGAGAGCCTAGGACTGGGAGAGCCTAGGATTGGGAGAACCGAGGACTGGGAGAACCGAGGACTGGGAGAGCCTAGGATTGGGAGAGCCTAGGATTGGGAGAATCGAGGATTGGGAAAACCGAGGACTGGGAGAGCCTAGGACTGGAAGATCTGAGGATTGGGAGAGCCAAGGATTAGAACACTGCAGCAGAAAGGTTTCTATGTCAAAAAAGAGCCAAGAACCACAGGGAAGGGGGATAGGCTAGAATAAGGAAGACAACTGTCTTAGTTAGAGTCTCTATTGCTGCAACCCAAGCAAAGATGCCTTGAAAGCACACAGGTAGGTAGATGGACTGTTCTGTACCTAGCCGAAGTGCTAAAACTCAGAACTATTAGTCTTTTTTTTTTTTATTATTATTATGTGTGTATGCCTGAAGGCCAGAAGAGGGCACCAGACCCCATTACAGATGGTAGTGAGCCACCATGTGGTTGCTGGGAATTGAACTCAGGACCTTTGGAAGAGCAGGCAATGCTCTTAACCCCTGAGCCATCTCTCCAAGAACTATTAGTCTTTAGATAATCACTGAAGCTGTGAAGGCTGATAAGTTACCATAGGAAGGCAGGGTAGAAGAGATCGAAGGCAGGACGGTTGTAATAAATTGCTCCTCTCTAACCTAAAATGCATCAAAGGGGAAAATGGCTATGTTTTTTCTTGAGCATGCTTAAATATTTGAAAAATGGCCAGCTAAAGTAGCAACTAAATCTAACCTTATGGATTTCTATAAGAAATGTTCCAGCCTATACCTACAATCCATCTGCCCCACACACACACAAATAAAAGGAGCCTTAATTTCTTGAAGCGGCTTCAATGATTAGAGGCAACCCCAGACTCCCAGAAACAAATACATGATACATTCAGACTAAAGTTCCATTAGACAGTGAAACTTTAGCTTTTCCTAAATTTTTTCTTTGTATATTTACAAATTAAATTATTCAACATTTTTAATGCTTTCAAGTAAATAAGTATATAGGAAAACTATGTCCACATTTACAAATGTCAGCTCTGGTTGCCATTTTCTCAGGCTCAGGCTGAAAGAAGATCTGAATCTGAACTATAGAACATTATTGCTCTGTGACCTTGGAAATATGGCTTATGAAAATGTCTCTGAACTTCCTCCTTCATGAGTGCAAAGGAGGAACAATCTTAGACAAAATACCTGTGTAGTATCGAGAAGGAGAGGCTACTGTGCAATACAGTGGAGAGGGATACAGTATAGGAGTCTCTGCCTTCCCCATATATCATAGACAGACTCAAGAGTGGTACCAAGAATTCAAAGTTCCAGATGGGTCCATGAAGGGAGAAACTCAGAAAATTCTGAGGTCGTGCCTACTAGTATCTGTATTTGTCACTTTGAAAGGTACCTACTGACCTAGCTATGACAGCCCCAAGGACATTTCCAGCTTCTAATTCTTAAGAGGAACTTTAGCAGGCTCCCTCGGTATAGGAAGAGATGTGCTGGATGCTTGGAAACCTTCTGAGTTTCTGAGCTTTTTTACATCTTAGGGAGACAAAAATTAGGGAGAAAACAAGAGAACTTGATGCTGGAGTCTGTCGTCTGCTCCCAGAGGAGTCTTAGATAAAGGGGGGAGGGTACTTTTCCTAACTAAAAAGCAACACAAAGTCGGGACCGCCAATCCACATGGTCATGGCGGTTAGCTGCATACAGACCTGTGCAAGTTATGTCACCAACGGTTACTCTGAAGGTGAAAGTGGGCACGTGTATTTGCACATCGGATCTTTCACATTCATAAACTGGGATGTTCTTGGTCTTCATGCCGTATTCGTGCAATACCTGAATCGGTGTTTTCCCAGGCTTGGCTGTTATCATCTTGCCCAAACTGCAAAAAAACCAGAAAAATGGACGCTTTGAACGACAAAACTGAAAGGGAAGCAAAGAGCATCCACTTGTCAGTTTTGACAGCCACAAACGGTAACTAGAAAGCTCCAAGGCGCCCCAGTTGCCAGGATCAGTGGCAAGGCCTGGGCACACCTGCGTCTGGGCACTACAGCCCATAGACGAGAATAGAGAGATCGGTATAGTGAGAACTTGAGCACAGTGGGAGGGATGCTGAAGGAAACCGAGTGGGCTCGGGAGTTGCAGGCTAGATCAAGCCTATACCCGGGTCTGTGCAGCACCCCTGATCATAGCCTCCAGAACCCATAGTCGCCGGAGGGGCGGGGCGCGCGACAGATCCCGGGCCCGAAGGGCGGGCCCAGCGCCGAGCCTTGGGAAGGAGGAAGCTTTACCCAGAATGCAGCCCGACAGCCGGCTCCCCGCCCCGGCCCCGCTGCCCACCCCTGTCTTGGGCCTGCGGCCTCGACGGCCCAGGGCTGACCTGAAGGTCCCGCTGTCCTCGCGCTCCAGCGGCGGGGCCTCTGTGCGATGCCTGCTGTGGGACATGGCGAGAAGGGACGGTTGGGCACAGCGATCGAGAGTAATGGGGATCTGGGTCCTCCCTCTCCACGTCGGCCAGATCCCGAGAGGAGCTTGCCTGCCCTGTTGCCTGGCTCCCCCTCCGATAGCAGCTTGCCTCTTTCCAGAAGAGGGACAGGCGGAGAGGGGGGGGAGAGGCGGGGCTTAGGCGCGGAAGAGCCGGCCACACCCCCTCTCTGCCGGACCTCTCGGCCACGCCCCCCTCTGCCATGCTCCGCCCCTCTCTTGTACTGTTTTGTTTTGTTTTGTTTTTTCTCTGCTGCTGTGCTGGGCGCCTTTCCGATTCCCTCTCTGCGAGTCCCTGCCCTTCCAGCTACGGTTTACGCTCTGGTTGGGTTCCCTGAGCTTCTCAGCGCCTGGCCCCAGGTCCCGCCCTCTCTGCCAGTCCCGGATCTTCCCAGTTTCTGCCTGCGCCCCGCTTCTGTTCCCTAGGTTTTCCCCTCCCGCCTTTAGTGACGCAGAGGCTCAGTCCTTTGTCCTTAGAGGGAGGCCCTTTCCTTTCCGGCGAGAAAGCTTGTAGTAGGCCGAGAGCCAGCAGGTCTGAGCAGCGAGGGAGAAAGCTAAGGGTTGGGCTACTTTAAGGAAGGCTCGAAAATTCTGAATGCAAAATTGCGAAGAAAATCCCGCATTTTGAGACGCGAGAGTGTCGGCTAAAGGAGCATAGGCTATTCGGGTGGGCTAGTTTTAGAGTACTGGGTGCCTGGACACCTCTTCTGCCTGGCGGGCTCCTGTGACCTGCAGGCCTTAAGAACAGTGCTTCTCAACTTTCCTAATGCTGCGACCCTTTAATACAGTTCCTCGTGTTGTGGTGACCCCCAACCATGAAGCTATTTCGTTGCTACTTTATAACTATAATTTTGCTACTGTTATGAACCATAATGTAAAGATCTGATAGGCAGGAGATCTGGTAGGCTACCCCCAAAAGGGTTGCGACCCACAGGTTGAGAACCGCTGCTTTAGGAGGCTGCAGAAGCCACAATGAGACCAGAGACCCGGGACTAGGAAAGGAAGCGCAGCAAGGATATTTAGAGCAGTGTCCAGGATCGCTCTTCCCACCCCGCTGACTTGTGCAGTGGAGAGTGCTGGCTTTAATCTGGGATGCTCCACCTTCAGAGTGGGTTGTGGGTGTGTCAGACAGGTTTGTCAACTGCTTTGCACAATGGCTCCAGAGCTTACTTGATGCTCTGGAATTGAATTCTAGAAGTGCTCTCATGAACAGGCTGCTAAAAATTATTTTAAAAGTAAAATTTTTAGGTCGGCATACCAAAGTAATTCGTTTTGAGATGGAATTTGGTTTTAGTTGCATGGAAGCCCAAACACTTGGATGCAAGTAAAAATATCCAGAATCGAATCAGATTGAATTCTGCTGCCCCTTCCTTTATTTCTGCATATTAGGGCACTACCTAATAATACTATTACACTTATGTGTTGATGAGGTTTTTGTAAGGACCATTTTCAAAATATGTCAACCACTTATGATCATACAATATCTCAATATAGGTTTTGTTCCCCCAGAATTTTATTTTAATGGGTCCACAAAACTCCTTGAAAACAAGCCAAAACTTTATATAACTATTTCTATAGGCTAAGTAATTGGGAGAGGAATAAGCAAAAAAAAAAAAAAAAAAAAAAAAGGAGGTAAATGCAGCAGAACCCTATCAGGTGATGTGGTTTGAGCCATCAGTTTCAAAGTAAGAGACTTCCATAGTAGTTTTTAATATGTAATGGAATTTGTAACTGAAAGCCTTCAGTGTTCTATAGAGAGCTGCTTACGATCGTTCCTCTATATCCTGTGAGTTGATATGTGGTACTAAACATATAGTTTTATAAGCATGCTAAATCCCAGAGGAGAGAAATGCTCATGTAATGATCTGTATCCTGTGAGGATTCAAAGGTGCTTTTCTGTTGCCAAAATGCTCCTGCTGGCCTCGTGAAGGAATTCCCCTTGGATAGTGTCCCCTATAGATGGTATCCAGGCCTGACATCTACAGGGGACACAATCCCTTTCCCGCAGGACTAGCAGGACTCGTAGCCTCCTTGCCAGCTGGTTCATTGCTGGTGGCAGAGCACTCCCAACTGTGGTCTCCTCAAGGACACTGGTAGTATGTTTGAATTCGTTTCTGTGTACTGTAGCTGTAGACGGCCGTTCCCACTTAGACTCGTTTTTAGCGCATCCTTTTACAGCGCTTTCTATTATTCATGACTGGAGTTCGTGAAGGGAGGCAGTGTTGTGGACTGGACACCGGTAAAGGACCTGGTGAGAGCATGCTTTAGAGTTTCGGTCTGCGCAATTGGATTTAACACCACAGAAGGTGAAGTTTGGCGACTGGTTTTCCTCTTCAAAAATGGGTTCGTTGCTTGAGGGTCGTAGTCGATGACGTCTTGATGGTACTATGTTTGCCGCCGCTACCAAGAGCTTTGTTAAGCAAGTTGGAGACGGAGGGAGATTAGTGCCTGTTCCGAGCCTCAGTGAAGCCGACAAGTACCAGCCCCTGAGTCTGGTGGTGAAAAAGAAGCGGTGTTTTCTGTTTCCTAGACACAAATTTACCTCGACGCCCTTCACACTTAAAGATATTCTCATAGGAGACCGAGACATCTCAGCCGGTAAGTTTAAATGCTCCGGCGTGACTCTCCATGGGGCTATAGCAGTAATAGCCCAACGGAGGTCGTATAGATTAATTATACTAATAATACACGTGTTATGACTAAAATCAGCCTTTATGTGGTAGTAGCATCATTAAGATGAATAATGCTTAAGTCTTGATCTTGTTGCCTGATTTTTAAAATCAGCTATCAGATGTTTTAAACTAAACACAGCAAGGAAATGATGTATTCTGTCCTGTATAATACCAGGTATTATCTGGTCTTACCCATTTCACATGATCAATAAGTGAAAGTCATCATTTAGATAGGTAAATGCGGTTTTTAAAATGTGGGTCCTGGGGGACTAGGCTCAGATCCTCATGCCTGCAAGCACGCTCTTTACCAGCTGAGCCGTTCCCCAACCCTGAACTCTGTTTTTAAAACTAGATTATAAAATAGTCATGATGTCCAGTCATCGGTTATAGACACTTGTTTTCATTTTAGCTACCCGAGGGATCTTGATTGCTATAGATGTATTCTGTTATCTGAACAGAGAATTTGAGTTTGTTTTAAGTACACTCTTATTTTTTTGTAGTAAAATTGCCTGGAATGCTACTTTTCGTGATGTTGGAAATACTGTCTAATTAACATTTGGGCAAAAGAGTTTTTTTCAGTCATGTTGGAATGATAATGTACGAATTTGAGACGTTCACAACATATCAAGTTCCTTCTCCTAAGGTATTTCATCTTATCAGTTACTGAATTATGAAGATGAGTCAGATGTTTCCCTCTATGGGAGGCGAAACAACCATATCGTGAATGACGTTGGGATTAATGTTACTGGATCCGATTCCATCGCGGTCAAAGCTTCCTTTGGTGTAGTAACCAAACATGAAGTGGAGGTGTCAACGTTACTCAAGGAAATTACCGCACGGTCAGTACAAAGTTCCCGATATACTGCAGTATTTTCATTAAATGATTAACTATATCAAATCCAAAGCAAAGAATGCTTAAAACATTTGAGTCATATTTTACAAGTTAATTTATATTTTTTATTTATTTGAAAGACTCCATTTTAGCAGCTGATTAGTACCCCAACCAAATCAAAAATCATTTGATATGCATTTTCAGTTCTTTCACAAAACATCACTATGGTTCTGCACAATTTGCTAAATTATTAAATTGAAATAATGCAAACTGTGCTTCCAGCAGACTCTAGACAGGATAGAGCATTCTATAGAACTAGGAGATTCAGGTGAAGTTGCACAGGCCAGTAATCCTAGACCCTTGGGAGAGTGAGACAGGAGAATCACAAGTTCAAAGCCTGTTTGGGCTACATTGTGAGTTCAAGTCCACCTTAAGCAAATTATTGAGGATCTGTCTAAATAAAGAGGTGGTGGGTAGCTGGGAGGCGGCTCACTGATAGAACACTGGCCTAGTATGCACAAAGCCCAGGGTTCAGTACTCCGGTTCTACAAAACTAAAGCCATGCCTCCATTTTCTAAAACAAGAAAAACCACTGAAGGGAGAGGCAATTGAGTGAAGTGATTTATATTCTCTGATTTGCGTTATGCCTGCCTAGACTAGCACATAGTTGGGTTGGACCACAGATACCACAACAGGTGCCTTCGTTTCTGTGTGATCACATGGTAAAGTATTTTGTGCGCATACCTTTTTCATTTTATTCTAGAAAAATAAACTTTGACCACAGTTTGATCCGCCAATCAAGGAGCAGCAGGAAAGCCGTGCTGTGCGTGGTCATGGAGAGCATCAGAACCACACGCCAGTGCTCCCTGTCTGTGCATGCTGGCATTCGAGGGGAAGCCATGCGGGTAAAACACACTCGGGGGGCACTAGCTAACTGCGGAGGTACTGTGGAGTTTTTAAAAAGTTACTCATAAAGGGTTTCTGCCTTTCGTCAGAGGCAGGAAACGAAGAGCCTCAGAGTGGTTGGGCTTCAGAATGAGAAGACCAGACAAGGCAACTTGGGTTCTAAACCTGTGTAACACAATACAAACAGACAACTAATCCTTGTGAATTTATGTATATACTGGAGTTCCTCCAATTAAATAGTACTCGAGTGCTGTATTAAGAACAAAAAAGTAAGTCCAGATATTATAGTCTTTGATTTTGCTTTTAAGTAATGCAATTCATACTGAATTTTAAAAGCTGAGTTTTCAACATTTTTTTGCATTTATTTATTTATTTAATGCTCTCCATGTGTGTGCGAGCATACACACGTCACAGTGCACATGTTGATGATGTCAGAGAACAAATTGTGGGGCTCAGTTTTCTTCTTCCGTATGTGTGTCACAGTGAGCATGCCCAGGTGGCCGGGAGCTGTGGCAAGTGCCTGTATCTGCCTGAATTTAGATTTTCTGTGAAAGTAGGTTTTTTTCTAATTAACATCATCAATAACCAAATATGCTTCATATTGTGTCAATCCTTTTAAAAGTTAAAAACTAGAAGACAGGGCTGGAGAGATGGCTAGAAAACAGAAAGTCAAGAGAACTGGCTGTCTTGAGAGAACTTAGATTTGGTTACTTGCACCCTCCTGGTGGCTCACAAGTGGTTGTAACTCCAGTTCCAAGGGATCGGATGCAGGCACACATACACGTAAAATAAAAATAAATAAATCTTTAGAAAATTTAAAAAAATAGGAATTTATATTGCTTATTCTTACCAACCAATGACACCTAGTAATGGTTTGATAGGGTTAAAGCCAATTGTTAGGTGACATTTTGTTCTATAGTAAAGAAAATGAATTTATGATATTTACAGGAAAATAGATGGAACTGAAAATTGTCAAGAGAAATAAGCCAGACTCAGAAAGGCAAATATTGCATATTTTCTCATATATGTAGACTTGAGCTTTAAGTGTATATGTGTGTGTGCATGCATATGTGCATGTGTTTGTATACAGGGCGTGAAACTGGAAAGAAGACCATGAAAGGGGAGGGAGAGATTGGGGACAGGAGGAAATACGTGTGACCTGAATGCGGAAAGAAGGGAGTGGAGACTAGTACGAAGGTGGAAAGGGGAGGGCAGTGGCAGAGGGCAAATTAAAGTGCATTCACACACATGTACACATACACAAACACACATACACACACATGCACACACACCATTATGAAACCCATGAGCTTGTATACCACTTTACTTTAAAGTGGGATGTGCTAGGGCTCTGTCTATAAAGTACTGTTGTGTAAGCGTGAGGATCTGAACGTGACCCGTGGCAACCGGAGGAAAGCTCAGTGTTAGAGTGTGTGTCTGTGATTCCATCACGAGGGAGGTGGCATAGTGAGGAGAATCTATGGGACAGGCTGGTCCTTCTCATAGTCATAGAGGACTCAGTGGTCATCTTTCCAACCCTCTCCAGCTGCAATTTAACATATTACACATAATCTATGTACGATGGCCAACACATCTCAAGAATGAGGGGTGCCGGGGCTGAAGAGATGGCTCAGTGGTTAAGAGCATTGTCTGCTCTTCCAAAGGTCCTGAGTTCAGTTCCCAGCCACCACATGGTGGCTCACAACCATCTGTAATGAGGTCTGGTGCCCTCTTCTGGCCTGCAGGCAACACACAGATAGAATACTGTATACATAATAAATAAATAAATAAATATTTTTTAAAAAAAGAATAAGGTGTGCCATCTCATATCCATCACTACATTATGAGGGTTCTGTCCAGAATCTATATTCAGATATCCTCCAAATTCTGATTAGCATCGGTCATTTGAGGGGCACAAGCTGAAATGCTGACTCGATCATAGTCATTTGGGGGCTGGGAAAGCTGCCTGCAGCTGTGGGGCTTCTGAAGCAGATAGGCAAGGCTTAAAGAAAAGGGTTTACTGTAAGAAACTGACTTCAACCCTAAAGTCAGGAAGCTAAAAGGTCACTGGCGTAGATCATGCATTGGAGTCCACCATAAGGTTTAACTGAGGCAGGGCAGTGCTTTACTTAGGTAGGTGGTTGTGTTTTGTTTTGGGTGGGATTATGCAAAGTTTGTCTCTCCGACAAGCTACCCTGCCCTGCTATGCTCTGTAATAACATTATTTTATTTATCTTTTTGCTGCAGTTTCATTTTATGGATGAACAGAATCCCAAAGGAAGAGAAAAGGCTATTGTTTTCCCAGCACACACAACGATAGCGTTCAGTGTTTTCGAACTCTTCATTTACTTGGATGGTGCCTTTGGTGAGTAAAAGCTCTGCCTGGAGCTCCTGTGACGATAGTTTTAGGGAGAATGTAATAGGAATGAATCTCTCCCTCCTGCCTCTCTCCCTTCCCCCTTCCTTCCTTCTCTCTCTCCCCTGTCGTTTTCATGAATATAGAAGCACTATGCCTTCATATGCTAGGGTGGAATAGCTGGGAAATCACCCCCCTCTAATTTCCCAGCACCTCTTTTGTGCTTCGTAGTGAAGACTCCATACTACCCCACTTACAACTATAGGTTAGGAATAAAACAAGGTCCATTGACAAAATATGCCTTAGCTTTCACGGGAAGGTCAATAATAACTTCTAATAGGTAGCTGTTGCAGTGGTAAATAAGGAATCTGAAGACAGTAAGGTATCTGGTGCCCAAATGGGTGATATTAATTCATTAATAATCAATCAATTTATTTGTACCTGTCTAGACATAATTTTTAGCTTCATTTTCCTTAAGATAATAAAGAAACACTCTAGAATTTAGTACTTCCTCTACAATCATCATCTTGTGTGGTAGATCAGTACAGCTCACCTGGCTTTCTACATCTCAGGGGACTTTAAAGTTAGTTCACTGAGTCACAACAAGACCAGATATAGCCCCAAAAGGACCAGGCAAGGGAGCCCCTAGTTACGGTAATTTACATCTGTAGACCTTCTTTGCTAGTTTCTGTAGTCCTGGGGAAGGAGGCTTAGGAAACCTAGAAATGAAACTACATTCTAAGTAAACTCAACATTGAGCCCTGCAGCTGTTTGGTTTTACAGTTATATTGACTGTATTGTAGAGAGGAATATAGAATGTCATTCATCAAAATGTAATCTCTCTATGCACACAATGTCTGGCTTTTTATTTCCGGGAATTTATGCTCTAGGTATACTGAGACATAATGTACAGCAATAGAGGAACAAACAGGGTCTTTAGTTTCTAAAACAAAACATTGGAAACATCCTTAGGGGACCCAGTAGTGGTCCATCCCATGAGCACAACAGAGGAGGACAAACCATGATGGGAGTAGGGGTAGCTCTGGGCACACAATGGTCTCTGAGAGATATTTTAACGAACTGTGTATGCTATGGAATTGTTTCTAGAAACATACGTTAAGTCTGTGCATACAGAACGTCTAAAGGATTCACAAGGCCCGTGCCAGACAGGCTGGGTCCAGGGCGAGCTGAAGGCATGTCACTGTTGTACTATCTTAATCTCTAAATTTTGTACTTGCAAATGTGTAAAGTTTAGCTTTATTAAGAGAAAACCCAATGAACTGCATGTATGGGAATTCATATCCTCTATGAAATACTCAACTATTAGGTAATTATAACAACATCTCCAATTGTTTTGTAGACCTTTGTGTCACATCAGTGTCAAAAGGAGGGTTTGAAAGGGAAGAAACGACCACCTTTGCCGTGCTCTACAGACTGAGGAACATCCTCTTCGAAAGAAGTACGTCTGCCGAAGGGGTTTATGAAGGCTTTCCTTCTGTGTCAGGATATGAGGCCTGCCAGTTAACATGTTTAAAGCCCAGTTATTTCCTGATGGATGGTTTGGGTTGATACCCTTATCAACACAGCTTGGGCTGCGTGGCTTTTTGGACTTCTAACACGTTTCTGGGTTCTGTTTTGCAGATAGGAGAGTGATGGATGCCATCTCTCGCTCCCAGCTTTACCTGGACGATCTCTTTGCTGACTACTATGACAAACCCCTTAGCATGACTGACATTTCCCTCAAGGAGGGGACTCACATCCGAGTGAACTTACTAAACCACAACATTCCCAAAGGGCCCTGCATACTCTGTGGAATGGGGAACTTGAAGCGGGAGACGGTTTACGGTTGCTTCCAGTGCTCTGTGGATGGGGTAAAGTACGTGAGGCTTCATGCGGTCCCTTGTTTTGATATTTGGCACAAAAGAATGAAATAAAAGGAAAAAGGAGTAAGCTTTGTTGGTGGGTTTTTGGTGTTTGGAGACAGGGTTTCACTGTTTCATCTTAACTGTCCTGGAACTCACTCTCTAGACCAGGCTGGCCTTGAACTCACAAAGATCCTCCTGCCTCTGCTAGGATTAAAGGTGTGCACCACCACGCCCACGTAGCTTTGTTGGTGTTTAATGTACTATTGTTCCACAAGCCTTAAATTGTTTAGGTTTGCTTGGATGAACTTTTTAAAAAGCAGAAGGCCTTTTAGGTAGCATTTCCGCTCGTGAGGTAGAGATGAGGATACCACTGTCTTCCTCACAGATTTTTATGAGGATTAATAACATTGCTTATATTAAACAAAACCTTATTACAAAATTCAAAGAAAAGCACTCTTTCACAAACCTGTCTGTTTCTTCACAATCCCTTGGGAATCCGTATATCATTTTAAGTTGCTCTTTATATTTAATCCCATTTTAGTTCAGCCGTTAAAGATGACACATGGGCACAAGTGGTTACTTTGGGGCCCTAGGTTTGGTAAGAGGAGAAAAAAATGTTAATAATTTAATATATTACTAAATGTTTAATCGTGGTGTCAGGTGCTTAGCCTGGGGCTCTGCGCACAGTTAACACTATAGCTGGCAGTGGCAATGGGCTGCCACTCCACCTACTAACTTTGCTCTGCGCAGTGGGTGCTGCCACTTAAGAGAAGCAGGGCAGGCCTGTGTCTTTGGACATGTTTAATGAGTTTAATATATTTTGTTTGCAAATTTCTTTTGGGGGGTTAGGGCCTTGCTTACGTTATCAAAGCTGGTCTAAAAATCCTGGGCTCACATGACCTGCCCACCTCATCCTCGGGAATAGGTGAGTTATGGGTTATATGTGGGCCCACATATATCTATTCTCTAAGATACCTGAAATTTTCATATGCCAACAGCTAAATAATTATCTTTTATTAAAATTGTAAAAATGTTTAAAAATTATAGATTAAATGAATAACATTGTTACTGTTAGATTCACCCAAAGGCATGAATCAATTACAAGAAACAGACCACGGCACACTGCACATAGGTAGGATGGGTAATGATTTATATTTAAACTGTTATTTAAAAGATAAGTTTTCGGGTACATGTATTCATTTAACATATGTGCTTTTTCTTTCTTCTCTTTTAGATAGAGCCTCCCGTAGTCCAGGCTGTCCTTGAACTCCCTGTGTAGGCCAGGGTGATGTTGAATGCCTCATTTCCCTGCCTCTGTCTCTGAGTGCTGAGTTACAGGTGTCTGCCACTACTTCCAGATCCTATGGTGCTGGGGTTGAACTCAGGTGGGTCTTCAAGCATGCTAGGCAAGCACCGTTCACTGAGCCACCACACCTCCGGCTAATGGAGCCTTAACTTTAAAAAACAAATTCGGAAGTACTTTGTATAGGCTGGGTGAAGTAGTATATGCCTGCAGTCCCAGTATGCAGGAAGATGAGGCAGAAGGATTGAGTTTTGACATCAGGCTAGGCTGCACAGTGAGTGCAGGAAAGCTTGGGCTATTACAGCAGGCCCCATCTCATAAAAAAACAAAAGCAAAAACAAATAAAAGCCCAACAAATGCCTTGTATGATAAATGATGGGCAAGGAAGGTGTTCATATACTTACTTAATTCATATTTTGTGCACATTGAGGGAAGTAAACTGGTAGGCGACATAGTGGCCGGAAAGTGTTAGGAAGGTAAGAGAAGGTAGCGGAGGGGTTAAATTTTGTATGCGCAGGTGGCATTTACTAATGTAATAGTTTCTATAACTTCTACATTTTAGATAAAATTTCTGCTAAAATCTCAGCATTCAGAATGCTGAGGCAGGAGGATACAGAGTCTGTGCCCAGCTTGGACTGCATAGCAAAACCCTATCTCACAATGCAGAAAAAGAAAAAAAAAATGTTGTCAACAACACACCCGAGAGATAAAAATGAACAAATGTTTGGAAAGAACACATTTCAGAGAACAGAAAAAGCTTTGTTTGTTCTGAGCTCACTTATTTCAGCCAGAGCCATTCTGCTTGACATACATAGGAAGCATCCAGATTTTTACATGTTCCAGCGCCCTTCCTTTTGCAACGTGGTCCAGCATCTCTTCTCTCCTCTCAACAAGTTGGACCACATTAATGCTTTGACCACAACTCAGAACTGGAATAGCAAGGTGTCTTAGGGTTTCTATTGCTGTGGAGAGACACCATGACCACGGCAGCTCTTAAAAGGAAGACAGTTAACTGGGGTGGCTCACTTTCAGTTGCAGAGGTTCAGCCCATTATCATCATGGTGTTGGGGGGGGGCACGATGGTGTGCAGGCAGACACGGTGCTGGCTACATACTGATCAGAAGGCAACAGGAAGTGGACTGTGACTCTGAGCGAAGTTCAAGTCAAAGAAACCTCAAAGCCTGCTCCCCCCCCACACCTTTCCTTCAACAAGGCCACACCTCCCAGTGGCACCACTCCCTATGAGCTTCATGGGGGCCAATTACACTCAAACTACCACACAAGATACCTCGTTTGTAGCAAAAAAGTTTAACTTTTTAAAAAGTTAAATTTTTAAAAATTTTAATGCATTCCAGTTTGTAACCGTCATTTGCCATTAAGAATGCTGGAGTGGTGTGGTAAGAGATAGAGAAAGGCAACCGCAACCCAAGACATGCTATGACACTAATTTAAAATTATGGGCCAAACTTAATGGATGGGTGGGGCGGGGACAATAAGGGATGCTGGCGAGATCATTCAGCTCTGTCACAAAGGACCGTGGTTTGATTTCCAGGACCCACTTCGTATAGCTCACAACAGTCTGCAACTCCAGCTCCCGGGAGTTACAGCCTCTGGCCTCCATAGACACCTCTATTCATGCGTCTGCACGTGCTTGTGCACACGCTTGCCCGTGCGCACATGCGTGAGCACACACACACTAAATACTTTTTAAAAAGCTATACATGGTAGACAGTGAGAAGAAACATGGAAGAGTAATAATACACTTATAGTAGCGCTTGAGGAAGAAGAGTCTGGTACAGGTGATGAGCTTTAGTTTGGCCAAATTCCCAAGGCCAGAAGCTCACACCAAAAAGTACAGACTGCTGAAATTCTTCATGCATCCGAGTTATGCACAACTGACTTCTTCCTGCATGGACCTCAAAGGAAGACTTCGTACCATGCTTTTATATCCTACTATCTATAAAACATCACAAAATGCATAAATAAAAAAGCTATTGCTTCCTGGTCTTTTGAGTATTCTTAGGAATATGGGGCATTTTAGGAATTAAAATCTTGGATCTTCAGGATCTTTTCGTACCTCTCCTCACTGTTACTAAGAGCCGAGAAGCACTTAGAGTATTCATCCACGCCCTGAAGGAGGGTGTCACCCACTGGGATACAGGCCCATTCCCTGGTGCTACAATTTATGTTCACAGGAGAAAATAACAGGGGATACAATCACACCTACCCCAGAGTTAGATTTGCAAAACAGCTTCACATTATCACACCAAAATTATGTTTATTAAAGGAAACTAATATCTTTTCATAAGGGAAAACAGGCAACCACAACATGGAGAAAAGTGACCTTTTTTTTTTAAAGCAAAGTGCAGTAATTTACTAACAAAGAAGTAAAATTTATAGCTCATCGTGTTGGTGCACATTGTATTCCTTGGGAGAAATGAAGCCATCTCCGTTGTGGTCATTTTTCTTAAAGATATCTTCCAAAACTGCCTTCTGATAGGACTTGTCCCGGGGCTTTTCATCTTTCTCAAAGTCCTTCTGCAAGTAAAGCTCGATCTGGAGGGCCAGACGAGAATGTTGTTAATAACGAAACCTGCACAAATGTCTGGTAACTTTGAGAAATGATTATAGTAATGAATAAGCATATCGAGTGATAGAACAATTTTAAGTCATTTATCTGATGGCTTACAGGGGAGCACTCGAGGACCACGGCGGACGCATGGCGGTCGGAGGACAACTGATGGACGTTGGTTCTCTCTTTCCACCATGTGGAATCCTGGGGACTGAACTTAGGTCACCAGGCTTAGAGCAAGAGCTATAGTCACCTGGAAATCCTGCCAGCCCTTTAATATTTTTAAAGGTATTTCAGCTGGGTGATGGTGGTGCACGCCTTTAATCCCAGCGCTCAGGAAACAGAGGTAGGCTCTAAGTTTGAGGCCAGCCTGGTCTACGGAGCTAGTTCCAGGACAGTTAGGGCTGTTACACAGAGAAACCCGCTTTCAAAAAACCAAAAAAAAAAAAAAAAAAAAGAAAGAAAGAAAAAAATATTTTAAGGTTTGGTTTGGAGACACCTTTGAAACAAGGTCTGACTGGCCTGGAACTCACTATTGTAGCCCTGGCTAGCCTGGAACTCACTGTGTAGCCCTGGCTAGCCTGGAACTCACTGTGTAGACCAGGCTGACCTTGAACTCACAGAGATCTGCTCGCTTCTGCTTCCCAAGAGCTGGGATTAAAGGCATGAGCCACCAGGCTCAGCCCAGGAATTTTTTCGTTTTTAACTTTTGAAGCGATTTCTGAAGAGAAATGGGTGTTCAAATTAGCTGTCCCTGGGGTTGTAGATTGGTAGCACTAGCCACACCAATCTGTATTACTATATATTACTTCCTGAAACGAAATACTTTCTAATAATCCACTGTTCATTTTAGGAAAGGCGAGCACAGTCTTATGGACTCCTATTATTTGATAAAATCTCATTAGTGTTTTTGTCTCTGGAACTAATGAATCTACTGCATCATCAAGCTAATCTTCAGACATTCTCCAGTGTTGCCTGCTTGTGTTTGCAGCACCGGACATTTCTCTAAGCAAGCATGCAGTGAAGCGCTGTCCTATTAGCCACATGCAACGTCTGCGGGTGGCTATGGTAACCTGAGACGTGTGCCTGTAAGTGTAAGTCACACACCAGACTTGGGCGATCCTAACTAAAAGCACACCTCACTGATGCTGGAGGTTTCATGCTGAAATGGTGCTATTTATACCGAGTTAAGCT